AGAAAGTGAAATTGTGTTCCTCCATTTATCCCATGCTACATACACTTATTTCTAAACATATTGATATTATCTCTTGGAAAAATGAGAGGCATAGCCACAAAAAGCACACACACTCTATATTGCCAAATACGTTGCTTGATAATGACATCTTTTTATGTTCTCACACATTCTTGGCTGTGTTTCTTTGCCTACTAGATCCTACCACTTGCATGCATGCAATCACCATTTTTCTTTGAGAATGGCTCCATTTAGACTTAGGCATTTTCAGTCTCCAATGGGTTATTCTCCTCCAGACTGCTGCTTTGCACCACTGGCAGGGCCGGGTTGTGACTTTGTCTGATTAAACATTGATTGATGTTTCCAAGTGGTAGGCAGATCAGAATAAGGGCTGATTTGTCATCTGTGGGATCCTGTGGGTAATTGCAAAAATATGAGTCAACATTTGTAATGGACTCTGTGACTGAAAAATTTGTGTGGGTTACAATGTATTCTCATGAACTCAAATCGTTTATTAATTTGAATCCCTTGAAAAGTACTGGGTGAATAGGAAAGACTCATAGTATAATGTATACAGGGAGATCACTTCTTGCTTCCATAGAGTTCATTATTTTATTTATTTATTTATTTTAACCAACAGTGTGATTGGACCTGGAGTTTGTTCTCAGCAGAAACATATTTCTGGCAAAGTAGTGCAACTGAATGGTCACTTGAATGCCCACTTATGCAGAAACATGCCAGCTACTGATGCATAAAACCAACTTCTGGTATCACCTATCTTTTATCTCATTCTTTGACATGGCCAAACTGTACTTATTTTATGAAATCTGAGCATTCTGTTTGACTACAAATAACTGTACATCACTGAAACACTCTTTTCCTAGCCTAGTGGTTACAGCTTTCAAATTTTTATCCTGGTTTCATGGTATAATCCTTGCTTTTACAGAAACTCTTTGTGTACAATAAACCTTACCCATGCAGTCCTCTAATGTTATTTGCAGCCTAGCAATATTTTGCTACTGAAGTTTTGTGGTAGAGAATTCAGAATTGATGCAATATCTTTTGTATCTTCCATCCCACACAGAAAAGATTTGGTACTTCTCCAGCCTGTGATTTGGTGACATTCTGTAGGAAGCCAAAGATATCTGGTTATTTGTGTGTTTTCTGTCAAATTGCATTGAGATTCTTGCTTCTTGCCCACTGACATCCAAGTTTTCAGAAATGATAGGCACGTGTTTTTGCTGCTGAAGTAAACAAAGCATGCAGGACCTTTAGAAAAGAGATTTTCAAACATTAATACATTAATACTGTGATTACCAAAGATTCATATTATTTTCCTGTCCATATCACTGAAGAAATTTTGCAAAAATGTAACAAGATCAGTAACAAGACGAGGATTTTTTTTTGGTGGTGGTAGTGGTTAAGAACACTTTCCTTGCATGTTCAGATTGCATATAAAAGCAAAACTGCAGAAAGCGACACTGGAGCTTAAAGGAGATATTTGCATGAGCGTCTCACAACCCTCTCTGTTTTTTCAAGTCTTTTCTCTTGTTTAATCAAGGGACTTTATAAACACTTGTTTTAGAAAGCTTGGCAATCCATGGGAAAAACACTGGTCTTGACTATGCTGTGTTTTCTGGGAGTCTGAAATTATAATGAGAACCTGACTTGACAAGAAATTGATTTTCATAGTCTAAAGGAAGATCATTAAGAACTTAATTTTCTTTACATAGCACATAGGAGAAGGATCACATTTAGATGCTTTAAAAAGCTATCAATCTCTTAAACACTCCCCATGCGTGGAATAAGTTTTTGTATATACCTATCTAAATATGGCACTGTTGGGACATGTACATATAGGTATGTGTGTACACGTTACATCTGTGTCCATAAACAGATAAAATATCATCTCTGAGATTTCTTAAGCATATGCATTTGTCATTATACTGAGAATTCCCAATTTCTCTCCCTGGTAAAGACAATCAAGCCAAATCAACCTATTTTCTTGTTTATACAGTTAAAGTCGTCAGACTCCAGACTAGGAATTAACGTCATGTGAATCAGTGGGAAAACAAACAAAGAAACAAAACAAATGTAGGAGATATAAGCTCAGTCCTGTTCCTTGTGGTGCATCAAAAATTTTTCATTTGCCATTTGGCAAATATCTGCACATGCAAGAGTCCCCTTCAGGGTATAAGGGTGACTCACAAACACAACTTTTAACACAGATGCTGCTGCACTGAGGTCTTGTTTGTTGAATTCTCCTTACAGTTACATTTGTGCTGGTGATGGACAGCCCTTGCACAGGTGAAATCCTGTCACCACTCAGACTGGAGAAGCATTTACTTCAGAGATGATCTTTTTTTTAATCTTTTTTTTTTTTTTTTTTTTTTTTTTTCCGATCAGGAATAGAACAGTGGAGCACAGGTGTGGGGATTGGCATTACAATGTGCTCTGCATAGACTGATGCATTGATAGGGATTATCCAGGAAGGATAAATACAGCAGAAGCATAAACCACATTGCAGAATACCACATTTGTGTTTTACCTTGCTTTCTCAAGTTGCTTTTCAAAAGGCTAGGCCATTTGGGATTCTCCCTTTGAATGGTTCTTTGTCTTTTGATATAAAACTTAGCTGGCAGATTCCCATTTTGAGTGACATGGTAAAGGAAACAACAAAAATTTTTGTTATTATCTGCAATAATGCTACTGGGAAAGCAAGTGAAAAGGGGAAATCCATGTCCATGCTCCCCCATCCACTGAAATGTTTGTGCTTGAACTGATTCCAAAGGCCCCAGACCTGCAGGCCTATGGGCTGCAGAGCTGCCGCTCATGGCAGATTTCTGCACAGCAGCGAGCAGAGATCCACTCAGATCTGTGCCCCTGACCACTGCTAATGCCTGCTGACAAACAGCCTCATGCACATGCTTCCCCATGCATGCATCCTTCATGCCACTGAGCTCCTCGGGGGGAGGCACCCCGGTGGGATGGCCACATCAGGAACACATGGTGCCTTTTCCTTCTGGCGCTTCTAGAAACACAGGCGGCAAATGTCTCTGGCACCACAGCCTGCAGCTGGAAGGCAGAGCCAAAGGGTAAGCTACTTTAACATACAGGCAGATTCATGCAGTGAAGGATTAGCAGGTCCTCGAGCTGTAATACAGTTTGTGGATGTGGTTCATTTTTTAAGGGAAAAAAAAAAAAGCAAAAAAAAAAAAAAAAAAAAAGCAGCAGTGAGTATATTTTTAAAACGATTACCAAAGTATTTCTGAGAAACACTTTCTACCAAAGTATTCTTTTGTACTTTATATACCTACTTTTAAAATCCAAAACAAAGTTACTTAACTTCAGAGAATGGCAATATCTGGAGGATACTGATCATGGATGTGTTTGCCTGTACTGCACTCATATAGCTTTGAAATGAGAAAAAAAGACTGAATGGCTTCACGTTATGGATGTTATTGTCTTGAAGGTATAAATGGCAAATTTCTCGCCATCTTTCTCTTCCTTAGACAAGTCTAAATTTTGTCACAACTTCAGAATGGCAGCTTGTGCTAACTGCAGTAATACAATGAATAATTCAGTACTGCTTGTATCAGAAGTTCGGTTTTTAGCCAGTCATAAAATACTTTGTTAGGGTAATGTTCAAATGCAACAATGTATGTCCTGATAATCTTATTTAATGAATGCTGATCAGGATGGGCTTTCTCATATCAATTAGAGTAATCAAAACTCTAAAAAGACTACTTTTCAACCCTAAATTTTGTTGCATATTTACATTGATGTATTATGTATTTCTAATGCTTACCTGTGGGTCATGGTTATTAGTCTGGTTTTGATTCCATGTTTGTTGATTCTGTGTATTGGAGCTAATTTAACTACCTCTGGTAGTTATAAGGATATGACCTCACAGAGGGAAAACCATTACAGCTCAAGAGGAAAAATGACACTTGCTTTTGTAAAGGAGGGTAGAATATTCTGTCCTGCCTAAAAATGCAACTCCCTACTTTCTCCTGCTAAAAATCCTACAAAGCACAAAAAGCATCAAGTTCTTTCTGATATGAAGTTGCTGCTCACATACAAATCCACCTTCTCAGTTTGCTTCTGGAGGAAGGTATCATTCCTGTTTTCCTGATGCAGAAACTGAGACATGGGATTTTTCTAAACCTGTGTAGGAGTAGAGTATATACACTAGATTTCATGTCTTCCTACAAAAAAGACTTGCATCATACATGTGTTTTACACTGTAAATATTTACAAAAATATTTAGGTTGCTTGTATCTGTGTGCTCATAAAAGTTTATTCTGGATAGAGTCAGGTTATTTGGGGTTTTGGTTGGTAAAATGGTACCAACAACTATAAAAAAATCAAACCAAAATGGATATTTTTTTCAGTCCTGAAAAATTCTCATATAATTTACTCATGATTAAGCTGATTTTGTGCCCATCAAATATATTTTCAAATGAGACCTTTTGTATGAAACTCAACTGATAACAATACCTATTTCATAACGCCTTAAAACAATACGCTTACTCAGAGGTAGTAAGCCTCACAGTCTCTTGGCAAAGAGTAAATTATGTTTTTATCCCCTTTTCCATTCTCACTGTCGTATACACAAGAAGTAAAGAATTTACTGGAGGTCAAATTCAAGGGACCAGAGCTGGGGTTGAAATCAGGGCTTTCCCAGTGCTCTTTCTCTACTTAGGGCACCTGATATTCCTATTTCAGTTGTCCTTTTACTGTAATACAAATGAATTTTTTATGACAAGAAAGTTAAAGAGCAAAATATCTAAAACATGAATGTATAATTATTTTTGTGTTCAGCTATCTATAAACTGGAAGATTCCTCTTCTTTTGGTACCTGAATACACATGCACCATCACATTTCACACAGGATGAAAGAGAGGTAGTCTTGTTCTACAAAGTTTTAGTTAAACAAGAAAAATGAGCATGCTTTGCAACAACCATCATTTTCTAATGCACTTAACAATTCTCTGTTTCAGAGCAGTATGTGGCTTGTGACTTATCTTCCTGAGGAGAGTGACCAAGATGTCTGTTTGGAATTATTCCTGGAATTAGACCAGCATGAGGTCTCCTCTACCAATCTAAGGTAATACTGCTGAAAGGCAAGAAATCCAAAGTGATGTATGCCCAGATGACCGTGCATTGACAGTGTCAAGCTTGGCAAAAGTTTTATATGCCTGAAGACAAAAAAAAAAAAAGGCCAGGAGATTGGGTAACCCCAGGGAGGCCATCACTCCATGAGGCACAGCAAACACAAATTCCTTCCCAAGGTGTATTTAGTCAGTGGAAGCAAAAGCTTCTCTGCAAGTTGGACAGGTTTTACTAACAGCCCTGACTTCTGCCACCATGAAGCTCCTTCTTTAGGGTGCTAGCTAGTTATCTCCCTGCCAATACAGAGCATAACAACAGATACAAGAGCACTAAAATTCTGTTCTCCTTTAACCCACACACCATAGGAGGTTCCCGTTGCAGTAATTTTGTGTCAGGGTGAGCCTGATCTAAAAGAAGAGTGAAACAGCTCTACTGAGACTTACACACATGAGTAAGACGAGTATGATTTGCTAAGCGATATGCATGAAAACTAATTTGCTTGCTGAAGAATGATCTTTTGAAATGTTTTCTTTAAATGACTGTTGCTTAAAAGCAGCAGAAAAGGCACCCAGATCTGAGGTATTTCTGCCTCATTCCCCTTCCTCGAGGTTGCATAAATTATGTATGCCCTTGTCGCTTTGGATAAGAGTCTGATCTCAGAAAGATATTAATTATTATGTAATAACTTTCACTAATTGTTTCTCCCTTTAGAGTATTTAAAAAACTGGTTGTATTGACAATAATAAAGGGTAATGAATGGCTGTTAAGATGTCTGTAGTACAAAATGAAATAGTCACCATTTCTGTTAATAATTTCAGTGAGACAAATTCAGCATGATTTTAATGATATTACGTGTACATTATGCTTTTTTTTTTTTTTGACCTCTTTTGGGAGGGGGAATAACCATAACATTTTTCTACATTTATGCAACCTGATAAACCTCCATCAGGGCACTCAAGTTATTGTCAAAAAACACAGTAAAATACCTTGGAATACATTCCAAATGATGCATATCCTTCACATTCAGAAACTTCAAAAATTTGACTTGATTTTAGTTGGAGCTCTGCAAACAAGGGGCTGAAAATCCAGGTTCTTAGTAATAAGGAGATCCTGACTCCGAAAACACAGATGACAAAAACAAACACATTTTTAGAAAAAGACTTGAACAAAGATTTTTTCTGCAACTTGGTCAGATATTTAATCTAGCTTCATCATGCATATGCAAGTTAATATAAAGTTAATAAATGTCTATGTACTAGAAATCACCTGTGAGATTTATGACTGTCTTAACATCTCTTAAAGACAAACGCTGTCTCATTTTCTAATATCTGTTTCAATAGCAGTTGCCAAGTCAAAATATGTCATATTTTACATAACAGTTTTTGTTATTTAAGGAGAATTATGCAAATAATTGTGTATATATCTATATACTGATGTAGGTACATCTCCCTCTCATTTTCAATGACCTCTAATTCTAGAAGTGAATTAAATGCTTACACTGTTTTGAGGTGCATGCTTGAAGTGTATAGTATTCTTAACACAATTGACTTGTCAGTCTTTGCTTAAACATTTTATTTATTTAAAGTGCAACAAAATACTCAATCTCTGTAGTATTTTTAAGTGTAGAACCATTCTAACTCTGTGAAAGCACCAATGAGACCTCAAACAGACTTTGATGTTATTAGATTTTCCTAGATATGTGTAGCTCTGTTACTGGTCTTCTATGGTACAAACAGAAATAATAGAAAAAATATAGCATAACCACAACATGACAAAGGAAAATTTCCTAAAAAATTTAGTTTCTTGGTAAGTAGTGACTGTCTTCATTTAAGCACAGAATACACATAGACATGAAAATTACTTTGCTCTGCTGTACCAGTGCTTCTCAAGAGCAGTTTTGCCGAAGTTTCATGTAAATTCCGTTGTAGTAATGTCTTACACTGCGGGTTGCGTGATAACTCTTCAGGATACAGTAGGAACCACCGTGCTAACCATCTCATCTAACTAACCAACTGTGCTAACCATCACATCTAGTTTGCCTTGCTGACCCAAAACAGTTTGGATAGCATAAATTTTGTGTCCGTCTGGACTGACTTGGGTCCGTAAGGTAGCTCAAGATGATGTGGTATTTTTTCATCTTCTGAAGAATTGAGATTTCTTTGACAAAATGCCAACAGGTAATTGCTTACAGATATTTTGATAAAATACTTAGAGAACCAGCTGCTGCTACTTTATTTTTTATTTATTTATTTTTTCCCCCTAATTAATCTTGAGTATTTCCTTGCAAAGCAACGCACCTTGAGTAGGAGTGAGGAGTGCCCTCACCCAGGAACTGCCCCTTACTGGAAGTTGGGGTCTTTGTCTGCAGAGATAAGATCTAGAGGTAGCTGATAATAAGGACAGGCACAAGTATTTAGACAGAATTTAGGCTGTCTGAATTTAGTTCAGTTTAATCTATGTAACTCATTCATTTTGACATCTCTTCTGGCTCTGCCAAATAGGTCTGGTGGTGAACTTGTAATGGGTATATACACAGAGAGCTAAATTTGTCACAAATAAAGCTAATTTATTGAAAAGCAAGGGTGCCAAGCAAAGCTGTGGCATCTAGGGAGGTGGCATAAGCAGAATCATCTGCTCTCCTGCTGCCACCACCAGCAGAACCTATCATTTGCTTCTTTTAAGCTTCATTATGAAATGAAATGGCCCTGTGATGAAATGGCTCATTCTGTTTTTAGTAACAGGTTTTAGTAACCACAATGAAAGAAAATGGTAAAACACATATCAGAGATATCTCCAAATCAGTTCTTTATGTATGCTTTTACATCATAACCACTTTTCAATTTTAATTCATTGCTTTGTTATAGTCTGCACCATTAGTCATGACTCTTACAAGTCCTCCAAGAACTACGTGTTATGTGAAGAGGCACTCCTTACATCACCATTTGACAAAAAAAAAATAAATAAAAATGTAGTGTGCATAAAAGTATATGTGGTAAAGATAAAACAAAACAAAACAAAACAAAAGATTAATTAAAAGAGAATTGCACAGAAAAGCTTTTGAAGCATAAGAATTAAAGCTTCCTTTGAAACTCCTATGATGCTGTCACATACATTTCTTTTAACTTACTCAATGAATGGAGTTGGATCATTAAGATCTTCAAAGCCATGGTGCAGGTGTCTTTAACTTAAGTCAAAGGAGTTGCCAGAACAGGTTGGGCACAGTCTGTGCCTGATGGACAGGGCAGGGAGATCAACAGGGTCTGCTCCAAGTGCTATGGTGGGCTTGTCACCTTCTCCTGAAATACCCCATGAACCGCACAGGTTTTCTCTCTGTAGACCTACAGGAATGAGCTTTTGCAACTCCTAGGGAATTTTATTTGCAATATAGGTGTTTGTTTGGTACCTGCGTGTGGTAGTTTTACATTGCTATGCAGATTGACCCCACCACAACCACTCCTCAAAGAAAAAGGGGAAAAAATTATGAAGAAAAGGGCTCAAGGGTTGAGATAAGGAAAGGGAGATCACCCACCAGTTAGGGTCATGTCCAAAACAGACTCAGACTAGGAAGATTAATGTAATTTATTACCTACCACTAGTTCACTAGAACAGTGAGAAACTAAAAACAAACTAAACCCACCTTCTACCCCATCTACTCTCTTCCACCTCCTTCCCTTGAGCAGCGCAGGGGATTGGGGACTGGGGGCTGTGGTCAGTCCCTGACGCTTTGTCTCTGCTGCTCCTTCATGGTCCCTCTCTGTCCCTGCTCCATGTGGGGTCCCTCCCACAGGATGTCTTCCTTCCTGAACTGAGGCTGCGGGAGCTGGACACTAGGAATAGGCGTTTTACTCTGAGGGTGGTGAGGCCCAGGCCCAGGCTGCCCAGAGGAGCTGTGGCTGCCCCATCCCTGGCAGTGCCCAAGGCCAGGCTGGATGGGGCTGGGGGTAGCCTGGGCTGCTGGAAGGTGTCCCTACCCATGGCAGGGGGTGAGATTAGATGGTCTCTAAGGTCCCTTCCAGCCCAAGTCATTCTGTAATTCTGTGAAATCAACTTTCTAAAGGTTGTGTTTGTTGGTGGTTTTTTTTTTTTTTTTGGTTGGTTGGTTGGTCGGTTGGTTGATTGTTTTTTTTTGCTGCTGTTTGTTATTTCCCTTAGTTATACATTTACTCTTTCACCACAGAGAGAACACTATGAATACACATGCATGTATAGAAACAAATACAGGAGAAGACAGAATCTAGTGCATTTTTAAGCATGGGGCAGGAAGAACAGGCTTCGAGGGGTCTGCTTGAAGTCTGCAAGACCAGTTCTTGTGTTCAGGGCTGCTCTTTTTAGTATTAACTCATTCTCTGTACTGTTATGCTTTTATTAAATAGCAAGAAGTCTTGTGTTGTTTATGTATCCTGTTCAAGAAAGTAAATCTAATGCAGTAGGAAAGTCATTGACTGATGTTCACTAATTCCAGATCCATTTAGTATCTGGAATGTCATGACACCATATTTTTGTTGATGGATAAGCTGCCATCAATTACTTCTGAAAAATGTGAGTGGAACTGTTAAGTATTTAAGTTGAGTCCAGTGGGTCACCATTTAGTGAATATAATGACTTAGTTTTGTGTTTAGAAAACTGTCAGCATCTACTCATAGGAAAACAGTGGCATTTGCTTTTCTACCACATTTTTTCTAGCACATTATGGAACCATGGACTCATAAAATAACAGGGTTGTAGAAAATCTAGAGCTGGAAGGAACCCACATGGATCACTGATTCCAGCTCCTGGCTCCACACAGGACCACCCAAAAATCAAACCACATGTCAGAGACCATTTTCCAAATTCTTGAACTCCAGCAGGCTCAGTGCCATGACCACTGCCCTGGGGAGCCTGTTCATTGCCTGACCAATCTCTTGGTGAAGAACCTTTTCCTAACACCCAGCCTGACCCTCCCATGTCCCAGCTCCATGCCATTCCCTTGGGTCCTGTCGCTGTCCCTAGAGAGCA